GTGCGCTGGTCCGAATAACACTTGGAAAGGATTAAGGCTGTTAATTGTTATGCATTAAAAATCATTGTTTGAGGGTGAGGATAGGAGTGTCTGAAGAGGAAGATGAATCCTGCAGACAGAAAGGTGGTGGAGAGCGTGGAATTAAATTGCCGTCAGTACACTGCCGGTGTTGGTACCCAATAGGACCTGAGCCGTGGCCCATGCCGTCAATTCCGTCTGTGCGGGCGGCAGCTTAACGGGAGCCATGACATTTAATAGCTGACAGTGGTGGGCCAATGTGCAGGGGGAAATTGGATATACATGACCACATACAGGGCTCTATACAGTTGTTGATGCGAATCCAGAGGTAAACCATCGATGGGGATAAAGAGCACATATGTGCTCGGGCACAGATAGGCACTTTCGTCATAAATATCCAATATTTTCATCTGTACCATTTTCATGCATGTTAGAACAACTTATACATGATGATCTGGTCAAATCAATTAAAGGGCATCTTAAATACTTCTTTTGCAGTTTGAATTTGAATCTTTGATTCAAATGAACCTCAACTAAACTTGTAGCTAATAGCATTAGCTCAAACACTAGCATTTTGTCATGTCATGATCATGCATCATATTGTTGCATTTGTTATGTATTGATTGCCTTCTTCGGTATTGTTCTCCGCGGTACGATCTGTTCCTGAGGGTAGGTTCAAGTATCCACAGAAGGAGCAGTATTCCATTGTCGATCTGCCAGGAAAGAAAATGCCCTTGATCATTCTGATACAAATCCCACTCTTTTGCTCTTGCTCTCTGTTATTGCATTAGACAACAACGATTCAACTGTTACATGTTTCGATAGATAGCTGAACCCATTCCTTTGCATGACATGGCATTGTCACAATAAGTAGCTAAGTTTTCAAAGCATGATTAGGAGTTGCTTGAGCTATGATGTTGGAGGAGAAAACTTGTTTCGATAGGTAGCTGAAACCATTCCTTTGCATGACCTGTACAACGTGTCACGCTTCGGTTCCCTTTGCCACACGATATATGTTGTCAGGCTTAAGGCGAGATTGTCATCCTTGTGCTAGCCCGACCTCTTTCTCGTTCCAGTGATGCCGACCACTATCCGGATTATCTCATAATCCTTGTCGCATGGCCATGTTTATCCTGGTCGGATCACACGAGGGGCCCAGAGTATATCTCTCCTGATCGGAGGGGCAAATCCGATCTTTCTCGACCACATCTCGCAGCATGGGTCTGGACAAGCCCGAAACCTACCTTTGTAACTACCCAGTCACGGAGTAGCGTTTGGTCGGCCAAAGCAGGTCTGTCACCATCCCGAGTACATGCGTCAGCTCAGGTCTTAGGACATAGAACGTATGTTGTACTAGAGACTCACAGATGACATATCGCTGCGTCTCATAGTTAGGTCTGTCCGAGTTGGACCTTATCTCGACTCAGATCCAACTATGTCGAATCCGACCAGATCATTCCAAGTCCATATTATCCGGTTAGCATCCAATGCTCCATGGCTAGTGAGACCAAGCCATCGACCGTGTCATATGCTAGTCTAGTTGGCTGCGCGTCCACACAACCCTTTCAACTAGGGACCTTTTAGGATAGTCATCATACAATGCATAGTCCCACAAACAAGTCACGTACTTGCTGATACCCATCATTGATAATGTCCAAGGACTATCTTTATTCATAAACACATAGGAAATATCATCATACATGATTGCCTTTAGGGCATATCTCCAACAAATTTGAACCAGCAAACTTGTTCTTTTTCTTTTTAGGCTTCTTTGCAATGGCCCCAAATACAGCCACTTTCTGTAACTGGGTTCCCTCCATTGTCACTGAGAACACACTCTAGGACTTTGTGAAAACCGGCTATTTGCCCAAGAAGACTGTCATGCATTATCGCGTCCCCCAAGCCGGAAGAAGAGAAACCTCAACCAAAAGATGATGAAGTCATTGTCTTTACCGACCATATGAACCGGGGCTTCTCACCGCCTGGCTCTAAATTCTTCCGGGATGTTCTGCACTTTTTTAACCTTCATCCTCAAGACATCGGACCCAATTCCGTGTGAAATTTATGCAATTTTCAAGTTTTCTGTGAGGTGTACCTTCAAGAGGAGCCCAGTGTGGAGCTATTCAGAGAGGATTTTTATTTGAACTGTCAGAACGAGTACTCAAATGGACCCAGCTTGGAACTTGGTGGGATCTCAATCCAGCGACGGAGAGATGCTATCTTCCCTTATGCCCGCCTGCCGAGTCGTCCCAAGGATTGGAACCAGACATGGTTCTACTACAAGGATGCTTCTCCGGCTGACGAGAACCGACTGCCCGGCTTTCGCGCCCTGCGTCGTGAATCAAATCATCCTCTCCCTGACAAGCTGACAGCCGTTGAACGCAAAAAAAACTCGCCCCATACCATTGCTAAGGTTAAGGCTCTGTTGGAAAACGACTTAACTGGTATTGACTTGGTTTGATGCTGGGTTGCATGGCGGGTCATCCCCTTGAGCCGCCGCACCGGCTTAATGTGCACCTACACGGGTAGCAAAAAGGATCCACTGCGCCACAGCTCCGAGGATTTAACTGACGACGCCATCAACGAGATGACAAAGTCTCTTCTGCATGAAAGCCTGATAGACTACAGCAAGGTGGGCCTAAGCCCTTTCTGCAAGTCTAACCCGACACCAGAAGTAAGCCGCCAAATTACTTATTTTACCTTCATCCTTAATATTTTGTTTTAACTCAACTTTGACGACTTTGACAGGCTGATGATGACTTCTGGAAGAAGGAATATGATCATGAAGCTGCCAACAGGGCCAGGAAGGCCAAGAAAGCCGCCAAGAGAACCACTAAGAAGAAGGAAAAGAACCCCAGTGCTTTGGAGATGCTTGAACTAGACGACAACTCTGAGTCGGAGGTAGCCCTTGACTCTCTTGGCTCCTTTTTCAACCATCTTATTGACATTGATTATCATTAGGATGACACGGGGACCAGTTAAGCAATCGAAGAAGAGGTAACTATCATTTCCTCCGACTCCGAGCCCTTGCCAAGACAGAAAATTCGAAGAGTAACCCGGAAAGTAAGCTTTTCACACCCCTTAGCTCATCTGGATCCTTACTTTCTTTTGAAGCAACAACAGCACGAGAGCCGGCGACAGACTCGGACTAGCACGGATGAAGAATTGTTCTCCGGCTTACCGAACACTCCGAAGAAGCGTCGAAACGAGGTCACCCCCACCTTAAACTCTTTTTATCCTTTGGCGGGTCTCATCCGCCAACCACTTAATTCATCCGACTCAAATTATCAGGAAACATCTCGTTTTTCCTCTGGCGACTCATCTCAATCTCACCTGCCGGCTTTCAAGACTGCTCCCAGGTAATAACAAGTACTTATCATTTGCTCATTAGATTCTTTATACTTATACTAACCTCTCATGACTCATGCGGTGGAAAGTCAAGCCTAGCAAGAGGGCAAAGGTGACTGAGCCGGCTGAAGACCCGAAAGTCAATAAGCCGGAGCAACAAAGCCCAGCACCTGAGATCTCCGTTCCTCAGTCGTGGGAGCCGGTTCTTGACATTCCACTAGTGACTTCTGAGCCTCTTATTGATCACGCCAGTGATAACCCTCTGAACCCTGAAGCATCAAGCCCCGTGAAGACGGCTGACAGACATAATGATGATGTAGTGATTACCAACACCGGCTTTAGAGAGCCGGGAAGACCCACTGCTCTGGCCAAGCACTCCGCCAAGGAAGAACACATTGAACAGCGCAAAGTGAGATTTGATGTCGCCAATTATTCTCAACTGAGCATTGGTGAAATATATTCTGGTTTTCTCAGTCAAGTACATAGTAACCGTGAACTTGAAGTTGACATGGTGAAGCAAGTACACAGCAGCCTCCCTCCTATGCTCTTTGTTTCAGGCTGTGTCCGGCACCATCTTGGGCGGCGATGACCAGAGAGACCTTGCGCTCGGTGAGGTGGGAAGCGGGGTAGATGACAGCAGGGCGTAAAGTGCACCAGCCTGCGCAAATCTCTTCTAACCGAGCGGGGTGGTGTGCCCCCGTGTAAAAATAAACGCCCACCGTGCAGTGAGCATGCCCTGCCGCTGGCGCATGTTACGTCCAGACTAACTTGTGTTAAAACAATGTAATGTTTGACTTCAAACATCGAAACATGGCACATTTTAACGCTGGCTTGATTAGGGTAATTTAAGCAGGCTGGCAGGAGAATTATTTGTGTGCCAATGACGACACTAGCTTGTCAGCCACACCTTGTCTCTCAGATCAAGGGGCAGTTGTTTCAGGAACCGATCTTCAACAGGGTCGCCGTGCCACTCGTAGAAATTGAAGTCGCGACCTCCTTCTATGCTCTTTGTCTCAGGCTGTGCCCGCCGGAGATGGAAGCGCCTTGTTGCAGTGTGGTAGCACCTCGCAGTCGCCGACCTGCGAGCTGCTGCTGCTGCTCCACCTTCCTCCTGAGGGGGGGTTGTCCCTTGGGCGGCGATGACCAGAGAGCCCCTGCGCTCGTAATCGCGCGCGCTGTATAATGGGTTCAGCGCGCGGAGGAAAACGGCATCGCGTGCCGCTTATTTCGTGCGTCTGCTCCCGCGCGTTGGACAGCGACAACTCGCGTCCGACTTCACCAACCGTCAAATCTGAGGCCTCCAGACACTGGCGGCGGCGCCCGCATCTTCCCCATTTGCTCCGACGACCCGTCGGCGCTTCCAGGGCTTAGTTTTCATTACAAGGTTTCAACTCAGTAGCAGTCAGTCATACAGGTTTTCAAAGGTGGGCACACAAGTAAGTATAAATCTCAGCAAGCAACAAACATTGTCTCACAAACCTGCAAGCTTTACATACCATTTTGCTATAGATAATGAATATACAGTACGAACAACAAGTGCTTGGTGACTAATCACTAACAACATACATATTCGCTATATATGCCTATGCACACGGCAAAACTCATAGCTAGCCCGGTAGATCTGCCACCTCCCTCTACTTCAGTACGTGGTATTTCAGCCCCTTCCTATCATCGACGGCATCGATGGAGACGGTCGATCCTTGGCATGCTTCTCCATTGACCAGCTTGTCCACGAGAACTCTCGTCACATTCTTCTTCATCCACCTCTTAATAGGCCTTGCGCCATACACCTGCAATATTCAGTCCATGTATATGCATCGTAAGCGGGACATACAGACAAAAGACTCTACATACATACAAAAGACTACGCAGATAAGTGTTATTTGGTTTAGTTTCAAAAAAATAAGTGTGATTTGTTTTGGTGATGAAAATAACATGTACTTACCGTGTCGTGCGACTCTGACCAAATGACGTCCAAGGCGGCATCTGATGCAAACAGAGAGATGCCCTTGTTAGCTGCCATAGCAACAACACTCTTCATCTGGATTTTCACAATCTCCCTCAGTTCGTCATGCGAAAGCGGCTCAAATATCACAGTCTCACTCAGTTTGTTGATAAATTCAGGCTTAAACCGTTTCTCAACCTGTGCAAGATCAGGTAAATATGTTGATCAGCAGAGTGCCCAAGAGGACTTTACAAAGAGACAGTTTGGGATACACATACCTTTTCCATAAGAAGATCCCGTGCAGTTTCCATGTTTTCTGCGGCCATTCCAGCTGACAGGTTCTCTGCTCCTAGATTTGAGCTCATGATGATGATAGTATTCTTGAAATATACGCTCCGTCCTTTTCCATCAATCAACACGCCATCATCGAGGAGTTGAATGAGAACCTTGAATATCGAGGGATGCGCCTTATCCGCCTCGTCAAAAAGAACAACGCTATATGGTTGGCTCCTTACTTTATCAGTAAGCTGTCCATCTTCTTCATAGCTTCAGAAAGTCAAATGAAAAAAAGTGAGATATGAGAAGGAAGTTTAGGAAAGAAATATGTGTGCAAAGAGTGTACAAGTTAAACCTTCGAGGTCCTCCAATGAGACGCTGCACAGAACCACTGTCGGCATATTCAGACATGTCAAAGCGGACCAACATCTTCTCATTGTCAAACAGCTTCTCGGCAAGTGCTTTCGCAAGCTCTGTCTTCCCAACACCAGTCGGCCCCAAAAATAGAAAAGAACCGATTGGTTGGCTAGATTGATCAAAGCCGACCCTAGAACGCAACACTTCTTGCACGACCAAATTAACCGCTTCATGCTGTCCAACGACTCTCTCATGCAATCTGTCTACTAGGTGGCTAAACTTTTCTTCCTCTCGGCCAAGTGTAGCGATCGGAATTTTAGTCCATCGCCTCACAACCTTCATCTATACCTACTATTAAAGCAAGGTGATATTCTTGGTTTCGTCCCGCATTAGATGTTTTTTCCGGTAGTTTTGGTCGAAAGTCCGTCCAATTGCGAGGTGGTATTAAATTTTTTGTCCATCCAATTGGTCTGCATCCACATCCTCTCAATGGGCCTGCACGCACGTTTTGGCCTGCAAGCATGTTTAGGTACCTTATCTGATTTTCACACGTACTCACAATAATAATCCCACCTCGATTGCTTTCGTGAAATCCTACCAATTTATATACATACGCAAATTGCGTGTAATATCAACAACTAGCCTCTTGGATCAACAAACACAGAACGAGTCAAGAGAAAAAGAGAAGGAGGCGGCAGACATGACCGGTAGTCCGGCGCGTGGGGCTCCAGGAGCAAGGCAGGGGACAGAGATTCCCGGAGAAGGTAGGCAGTTCGGCACGAATGGCAAAGGGCTTCAGCGGCCGCTAAAGATGGCGTCGCCTGGGGGAAGGAAGCGGAGGCGCAGCTCGCGGAACTCCTGGAGCGAGGCAGAGGGCGGAGATGGCCGGAGGAGGAGGTAGGCAGTCCGACGCGGATGAAATAGGGCGATGGCGGCCAGCCGAACGGAGATGAACGGAGACTACTCCCTCCAATTCATATTGCTATTACTTGTGTTAGATTTGTCTAGACACTAAAACGTGTC